ACTGGCAATGTGTACTGCCAGTCGTAGCCAAAGTGAATTCAATTTACCCTCCTAGCTGTGTTTCTACTAATGCAAGCATCTGAATGCAGACAAGGAAGAAGGTCACTACAGCATTATTATTTTGGAAAGTTTCCGGATTTCTGTTCTTGGCTAACTGGATTTCTCACTGCTTTAAATCCAAACCAGCAAGATGGTGGCTGAATGTCATCACTCATATCGTGACTACTGGAAGTCTACGTGATACTCAGACTGAACATGATAGTCAACATTTATCTTAATAATGTTCTTACAGTGCAGGTACTCATATTCATAAAAACTGAGATTAGTAAGGAATTAATAAGGAAAGGTACCAAACATTGAAGATATTTATCTGTGTAAGTGCTTTGACAGGATCCTGCAGACTAGGGTGAGTGGCTGTACTGCTTGTCATGCATTGTGCCTGTTTACTGTGTGACTAGAGGGAGGCTTTCAAAGCTGTCAGGATAGCTTTATTCACTAGCATTACTGTTCTAAAAATAAATATCTCCTCATTACTGCTCACATGAAACACCAGTAGACTCTATTAATGCTGTGTCTCGGCATTGACTTGACAAGCTAGAATAAATTTATGCTCTCTGAGAGGTGAGAGATGAGAAACAAATAACTGACTGAAGGTTAAAAATCTAGCAGTCCAAGGCATTGCATTGATTGGGCAAGCCCCAGTTCTCATTCTTCTGCCAAAACTCTGATACCACATGTTGCATATTTTTTCAGTTAGAAGATGATTATTTTATTTACTGAACTATTAGTCTGCATTTTCTGTCCTTTAGCAAGGACTGCAATTTCCAGGAAGCATATAACCTCACTGAAGAATATTGATTTTATCCCTAACATTATGATTTCTAGAACTCAAAGGAGTTCAGAAATAGTTGCCTTTTCTTATTTCAGGCACTGCAGTAATTTTCAAACTGAAAGATCTCTGGGTCCTCTCTAATGGTGAGTAGAATGAGATCCAAGCAACAGTGGATGTATAGGTTTAGAGGAGAAGGAGAATGAGCTGCTTTCTCTGGAAATGGTCTGCAAAGTGCAGCAGCAGCTGGAGAATCAGTAGAAATGGCCCTCTTGCATTTTGATTGAGGGTCGCTTTAAGTGGTGTGGAAGAACAACTTCTAAAGGACTGGGGACAGGATAAATTGACCATCAGTTTTAACAGGCATTGCTGTGTTAGACAAGCAGCCATCTGCCTCGCTTACTGTCCTGCCATACACACTCTTCAGCAATAGTCCCAAGAGAGCCACTCCCTTAATCATTAGTTGTCATCTATTTGGTTGTATTTAATTAAGGTTATTGAGGGATCTCCAGGCACCTTCTGGGAAGTTGTATTAATTGGAAACCTACAGGGTGCCAGGTTCCTTCATTCTGCCTAGAGACCAGAGACCTCTACTGACAGGCTGAAATTAATCAGAGATAAAATCCTTTTAGTGATATGACCAACTGAGCCAAAGCCTACATCAGGCTTTAACAAACTGTACTTCTCTTTATGGTCCATTGTCTCAGAGCTGGCAGTGAGAGATCTATGGCCCTGCAGAGGGATTAGGAAGGATAGAGAGGAGTGGAGCTACAGGATTTGTTCCAGAACTCTGACACCACTATCATCTTCATTTGTGTGCTGTTAAATACATTTTTTACTGCAGAAAAGACCCATTTAATGTGCAATGTCTCAGCTAGAGATGGTTCTGGGGATCTTGGAATGGATCAGAACAGATGATAATACTTTGTGGCATCTCTGAGCAAATAAGGAGGCACAGGTAATTTGCAGTGGAAATGGGCTGAGTTTCCTAGATCCTGGGGATTAGGGATGGCAGCTCAGAACTACTCAGGCTGACAGGAAAATGCAGGGCAGCTGATCTGCTTGAGATAGCACAGGATAAGGGTTGGTGTGGGAGTTGGGATGGGGTGTGACACATCCAGTTGTGAGTGCATGAATACACTGTGCTGATAAGAGCATTAAGTACTAATACAGTCCAAACACAATAGCTCAGCAGGCAGGAGTTAAGTCTGACCCACCTGGAATCTTAGCAAACTGGTTGCTTTCATTGCTAAAGTTGAAGTGGAAGTGCTTTACATTTTAAGGCACCTCTAATTAAGTTAGTTTAAGGAGGTCAGGGTGAGAGAGAGGAGAATCAAGTGTGGTTGGTGAGGGCATTATGAACTGGTATGGTGCATTCAGGATAAGTTTGTATGAATATAGTGGAATTTACCTGAAAGCTGGATCCAGGCAGTCAAAAGGACACGGATATCAACTCTATTCTTTTCTGCCAATACAACAGATTTCTTAGCCTCATCCCTTAACTGATTTTTAGATAGTGTCTGGACATTTTAATAACTACACCAGAAAGTAAAGAATACATGATGTAATTTCTCATCTCTTAAAGAGGTATTTAAGAAAGCAGTGTCATTTTAAAGGATGTATTTTATCACAGCATTGCTAGCATTGCTTTTAATTGTGGCATAGCATTTACTGTAGCATCATATGTGACCCTTATTCAGTTGTGATATATATTCCTTTCAAATCTAATATTAGTAGTTTAAACTCTATGGTTCATTTTGGTTTTGACCAGCTGAAACACAAGCTAGGATTCAGCTTTAGATGTGTCGATACAAGAAAAATATTGTAAATGCTAATTAGTGAAAGCTAAAGTTTTACATGGTTTTTATAGTTGTACATTCAAGATTCACAGTAAAACATCTCTGGGGTTCACTGTTGAGGGAATTTAGTTTCTGAGTGTCCCTATAAAGTCAGCACTTCTGTCCCACCCTTTAGTGACTTGGTGCTATCAGCTGTACAAAATACAGGCTGTAGAGACATTTGGCTATTCAATAACACAGCCTTTTTGTAGTTCTGCATTCTTCCTTAAAATTAATGTGTAATATTAAAAAATACTGTTTAATAATAAAACTGTGTCCTGCTACGGACATCTCTGCATGGTGTGTGCAGACACCATCATGTACCTTATTCTGTCTGACTGGGAATCTCTTATGCTGAGGCTCCAATACGGGACTGATGCCAAAAAATTAGTTCTATTGCAGACAGCAGTAACTTACAGGAAGCTATTACAATTCTCCTTGTGTAGTTTGCCTTTCTCTTTCCTAGCCTCCCCTCCTCCCCCACCTCATTTTTCTTGCAATTACTTAAATGAGAGATCAGCTTTTGAAGGTGAAAGGACCTGAAGGTGCTGCCACCATTAACTAATATAATTTGGAAAAAGGGAGGCTGATTTACAGGGAGTGCAGTTCAGCTTTTATATCCCAGTACGTTTGTCTTTCCTTGTTACTGTTTCTTGCCCATCTAGTTAGACATTGCAGGGGGCAAATGCAGCAGGGAAAGGTGGGTAGCTAGCAGTAGGGTAGGAAGGGTAGCTAGAAGAGGCAGAACCAAGAATAGCTGAACCTCACATGAATGGGAATACTGAAATGTATTTCATGTCCCTGTCTGGGATTTTTAAAGTCTGTTGTTCAGAGTTGTACAGTGCAAGCCCTCTGGCCTAATTTGAAGGTGTCAGCCTGTTTTCTTCCTTCTCTACTGGTAGTCAAGCTCAGAGCTTGTTTCCTGTCTTTTCAGAAAAAAATGGGAATAGAGAAACATCCTGCTTACCAAAATATTTCAGAATTTCCAGAAAGTGTTTGAATTTGGACCTTAAGAGATGAAAATGCACTACCAGAAGAAAACTGAAAATAATATATTTTGTTTACTTAAACATGTCTTCTTATACTCTTTAATTTGGACTCTAAGTATATACTATTTTAAAAGTAACACAAAAATAATTATATAATTGGATATACCAGGATTTATTGCTAGCAGATGCAGTAAATTCTAGTAACCATATTGAGAATAGTGTGGTATAGGTTTGGTGATGTTTAGCTCAAGTTAACAGAATTTCTGAAGTCTCTAACTTCTTGACTAGGCAAAGGGGTGTGCTTTGGGTTTTATATCTAGGAGGTTGAATATTTTTTAATCCAAATCAGTCTCCTGTGGGAAAAAAAATTGCAAAGAAAAGCATTTTTGATTTAGTCTTCTGAATATGGTCAGAGGACTTCAGCTGTTCCTGATACAGTGGTAAAATGGCATATTCAGGAACTGCTCCATGACAAGGATCTGAGTGCTTTGTGTCCCCAGTGTTCAGTGTCTAACTCCTCAGTTTTGTGCATCTACCTTGTCCCTCCTGCTGTGCAGAGACTTGTTTGTATCCCAGCCCTTGGAATGCTCCTGTGCCTTCTGTACTGCCTGCCTTTTTCTGCTGGGGACATAAGCACTCCTGAACCTGCCAGATTCCAGGACCTAGGGAAGAAACTTCTGGGAATGAGAGGTGTTTCCACCACTGAGGCTGTGGGAACAATGCTACCATTTTGGAAGCAGCAGTTTCAGTATCTTCTTGGAAGGAACAGTAGGAACAGGGGAGATCCAGCAGTAATGGATGGAAATGAAGGGCTAAGTGATGAGAGTTTAAAGCACCAAGAGTTTCCATACAGCTGCAGAAGAACTGGAGAAGAGACAAGTGAGAGGGACCTCATCCATGTCTGTAGTATCTGAGGGGAGAGCATCAAAGGGATGGAGGGATCCAGGCTCTTCTCTGTGGTGCTGCGCAACAGGACAAGAGGCAATGGGCAGAAGCTGATGCACAGGAAATTCCACCTGAACACGAATAATAGCTTTAGTGTGCAGGTGACCGAGCACTGGAACAGCCCAGAGAGGCTCTGGAGCCTCCCTCGTTGGAGATACTCCATGAGCGTCTGGATGCAATCCTGCAATGTGCTCTGGGACCCTGCTTGAGCACAGATGACCCACTGTGATCCTTTCGAGCCTCGCCCATTCTGCGACTCCTTTAATCCCATCTGAATTACTTGAGCCAATCATGAGGAGGGTTAGCTCCTTCCTTCGCTGTTTTTGCCGCGGAAGGAGCTGTGGGCGGCAGGCTGCCGGGCCGTGCGGAAGCTGAGGGGCGTTGCTCGGTGCCGTCCTTGGCCCGGCGGGGGGCAGGGGCGGGCAGGCGGCTGCGCCTCAGGCCCCGCGCGGACATGGCGGCGCCCGCGTACCCGGCCTGGGTGACGCGCTGGGTGTCGGGGCAGTGGCGGAACAAGAAGCGGCCCCCGGCGCTCCGCCCGCCCCGGACACTGGCGCTGGCCGACAAGGTGGCGAACCGCCGGGAGCAGTCGACAGGTGAGCTGCCGGCGGCGGGGAGCGGTGGCCCGGGAGGGGCCGCGCTGCCGGCAGAGCTCGGCGGCGCCTTGTGCTCCGCAGGGCGAGAGGGGAGCGCCGGGCTGGGCCATGGAATTCCTTCTGTGGGCAGGATCGCTTCCTCACTCTGCAACCCTGAGTTTGGGTCGTATGTGAGTCAGACACGCTGCATCGTAGCATTGCCTTTACCTTAAAAATTCAGTCAGATGCTGGATGGCTGCAGCGATTTGCTTTCTGTTAGCAGCAACTTCTCTGCCCAAAGCAAAGCTGGGATTTTCAGTTAGGCATTTTCCCAATTTCTTTGGAGCTTTATGCACTGTGGGGGCTGTTTGCATGAAATCCCAAACACCTGAGATGCCTGCTTGTGTCTTTCCCTTCTAGAGGCAACGTGCATTACGGAGATGTCAGTAATGATGGCCTGCTGGAAACAGAATGACTTCAACGACGCGCCCTGTGCCGAGGAGATCAGGATGTTCTATGACTGCGTGGCAAAGGCAGAAGTAATTAAGGCCTCTTTTATGTTCCTAAAGGCTAGTAGTAGGGAAGGAGAAAGCCTCCAGTCATTTTTTGTGTGCGAGTAAGAATTTGATTGTGACCCATTTGAGCAACTAAGAGCCATGAAAACTGGTGAAGGATCTAGAGGCTCCTACACGGAGGGGCTGACGTAGCTGGGGTTGTTTAGTCTGGAAAAGAGGCTCAAGGGAGACCTTATTGCTTTTTACAATTATCAGATGGGGGTCAGCCTTTTGTCCCAGGCAACTGGTGATGTGACAAGAGGACATAACCTTGAGCTGTGCCAGGAGAGGTTCAGGCTGGACATCAGGAAGAACTTTTTTACTAAAAGGGGACAGAAGCATTGGAACAGGCTGGCCTGGGAGGTGCTGGTCACCATCCCTGGTGGCATTCAGTAAATGACTGGACATGTCAGTGCCATGGTCTAGTTGGCAAGGTGGCCATTGGTCAAAGGTTGGACTCAATCTTGGAGGTCTTTTCCAACCTGTTTCTGACTTTGAGGGCCAGACATTTTTGAAGAATAAATTTCATATTGCTTGAAAATTAGAGGTTTCTGATATTATGTATTAACATATTATAATAATACTATATTATAAGCTTGAAATAAAATAATTTTCAAAATAGACTAAAGGTAAGTATATGTACTAAACTTGTCCTTAAACTGGTTTCAGGTTTCCATTTTCTTTCAGTAACAGTGTTGTCATTTAAATAGTTATTTACTGTTGCTGTTTGACAGCATAAGTAAAAAATTATTCACAGTTTATTTGGTAGATGACAAAGAAGCAAACAAAGACAAAATATAACAGAAAGTAAAAAGAAAAAATCGGGGTTGTTACCAGAAGTTTATGTCATTGTTAACTAAGAATATGGAAGGATATAATCTTCACAAGATGCCAGTCATTAATTGGTGTCATTTAAAGGTCATCAGCTTGTGATTATTGAGCCAAGAGCTATGGTAAGTGTTCCTTAAAGAAACAGCATTTTTCTAAAAGAAACATCCCTGTACAATTAGTAATAGTCTCTGGGAATGATCGTCAACTCTGCAAATAAACAGCGGTAAATATTTTGAGTTTTTCTTTTCTCTTTCAGAAAGAGCGCAAGAATCAAAATGAGGACACCCTGTCATCCAAGGGAAATTTGCCTTCAAGCAAAGTGAACAAGCTCCTGAAGAGGTTTCCTCAGATCACACGTTACGTATAATGTACTTTATGAAAGAGACTGTGGACAAGCAATTAACGTTGGGGTCTTGGTCAAAAAAAAGGAAAGTCGAGTTAAGTGATTTTTTGATTCAAGTGGTGCATGGATCTTGACCCTGCTTTTGATTCCAGGACAAAAACCACCCATCTTGAGTATCAGCTGATTCTGTTCACGAGACTCTTGGGTCTTGCAGTGTTAGGATTTCTGCGGTGTGTTGTTCAGCTTGCCTACCCAGGTCCTGTTAAATAAAACCTTCTAGGCATTCATGTAAATGCATTTCCTAACAGGGCATGACTTCTCCACGTGCAAGCTTCTTGCCCAGCTCTGGAGCTGCTGTCAGAATGTGTTTGGGCTCAAACACTGAGCCAAGCTAAAATTAGTAATGATAGTAGTAATTGATGGTATGATGGTTCATACTCTTACATGAGTGTATTCACAATCTGGTGCCTCTTGAAATTTTTTGAATTTCCACTGCTGTAAAAAAAAGGCTGTAAAATTTACAAAAAATCTCCAGCAAAATACCTTGTTCCTACATAATACATTGGTAAGTATCAAATATAACTTTAACATGGAAGCTTGTGATTTAGCTTGTGATTTGCAGGTGGGACAAGTATGGTGCCACATAAGTTTGATTATTTTGTCTGTACTGTAATAAAGCAAGACTGGTGTTTGACTTGGGCAACTCAATCTACAACAAAATTTTTTCATTGTTTTTTGGTAAAAAAAAAAAAACAAACTAAAAGGGGGAGAGAAAGTTAAAGCAGGGATTGATAATTGAAATAATTTAATTCATTTCTAGTTTTGATTGTGGGGAGAGAGGGGTGGTTTCCACTGCAGTGCCACAAAACTGCAGGCCGGTTCTTGGGAACAGTACCTGATTGGGTTGAAAAATGCAGTGTCTTGGAGAACTGATGTTAGAACCATTTATATCAGTAATTCTTTTGGGTGTGTAGAAGCAGAATAAGAGGAGAGTCAGGCACTCACATACTGTGTGGTTACCCATGGGTGGCTGTAGAGTTTGCTGGAGCTGAGTCCTCTGGAGCCCCAGGCTGATACCTGTTCATCACAAAAATTTTAGTCAGGTGCAGGCTTTCAAGTTACTGAAGCAACATTCTCTTAGTGGTTAATTACAGTGGCTCATTAGTGGATAATCCAGGGTAGCTTATTCTTTTGTTGGTATTATGACATAATTGGGTCTTTTAGAGGACTTGGGGTCAGCAAGAACACAATATCCACATCTGAGTTCAGGAAAGCACTTTGGTTCTGTGGAATTGTGCGTTTTCTGTCCAGAAGACATTGTTAAAATTAATGCTATTTGCTGTTCCTTCGTTTCTGGAGGATATAAACTAGATTGGGAGTGAGGAACTGATTCACCTCTGTTGATGGTGATTTTTCTTCATATTAAAACTTGGAATAAAAGTTTTATGCATCTCTTAAGATAGCACCTGTGCTGAATGTACCAAATTCTAGTGTCTGTGAGGAGCAGTCTTATATAAGAGGCTGTAACAGAGACACTTAATACCTTTTTCTATTTTTACTTTTGAAATTTTGCACAGCTCCCTCTAATCTGAACAGCTGTTTTTGCATTGCACTGCTTCATGGTGAGCTTCACAAATTCAGTTGTTTGGGGTTTTGTCTAACCTTTTATATGTCTACTATAAGCTTGAAATTACTATGCTAAGGTTTTCCAATCATTTTGTTTGAGAGGAAGTAAGCCATGCTTTTCAGGTGCACCCAGGTTTTACAGTGCTCCCTTTACAAATACTTGAGCAATTCTTTTGCTTTTGTTGTAACCAAAAACCCTCCAGTTACTGATTGTCCTTGGCAATTTCAGCTGCTGGCCATTTTCTGCCTCTCACCATTAAGCTTGTATTAGTGTTTAAATGCATTTTGTGACATGCTCCTATTGAGGGTCACTCCATTAATAGTTCATGTGTGTACCCACAGGGAACAACGCTGTTCTTTCTGACTTGGGGTTTGTACCACCTCATGATGCTGTTGCTGGGGGATAAGGAAAAATGTTCTGGTGTGGAACACACTGGTTAAGAATGTTGCTGCAGAGACCTGTATGCGATTGCGTGGTGAGGAAAGAATTAAACAAAAGCTGACTAGCTGTTCTACCCTCCTAAGTCGGATTTACAGGATTTAAGCAGATCTGCTGGAATTCCTTGATCTTATTCCTGTACCTTATAGCTTGACTATTATACCAGCTCTGGCTATGATTGCTGTTAACTACTCCTTTTAGGCTTTCATTGTGGAGGTGGCATTAATATTTCAGCTGGTCCTGATGAACAGTTGTCCTGCCAGTTCAGGAGAAATAGGTTGAATTCCAGAGAGCCAGGGACATTTTACAAGATGGCATTTCTTGTTCAGAAGGGTCGGTACAGAAAAATTGGCAAAATCAAGACAGACTCTGTGGGGAATCATAGACTTCCTGTAATAGAACTATGCATATATGGGGTGAGAAGGACTACTGTTAAACAGTAGATTTAGATTTTTACAGCTACTTCAAATTTCCCTATACAAGAAAGTTTAGAATGTTTTACCTTATCTGTAGATACATTACTGATCTAAACTGCTATAGTTATATTGGTATAATTCCCTTTTAGGTCTTCCTCTCCACCTTGGAGAGTAGTCATGAGAGGCTTTTGAGAATCTGAGATCCACCTCTCTCAAGGAATGTCATTACGTGTGTGAGAAAAACTAGGGGACTCTTGGTAAGAAGGAAATGGTTCCAAAACAGTACCTGCCAGAGAGGAGACAACTGCAAAACCCACTGTATCTTCCCAGTTCATTATTCTTCCAGAAAGCGAATACAGGCTTGGACTTCTGTTGCTTTTGGTGTAGTGGTCTGTGTTTCCTTTAAAATTCCTTTTATCTATTAAATCACTTTTTTAAGGAAGACTTTGCCTTGACAGGGAAGCAACTTAGAAGGTAGCATGAGAGAAATCCAGTGCAGGCTTCTGCTAGAGGTGTTAAACCCTGTGTGTCAGAGGCCTGAACAGGGAGACTCTCATGGGATGGAGTTCTGAATGAGCATCAACAGCCTCTAGTAAGGAGCTAGTTTCTCTGAATGCTAATAGAATTTCTGTTCTTGTTTCCAGTATGTCCTTTCCTTGTGTGTTCAGTGGAGGAAGTGGTTCTAACACAGTCCCATATTTTTATTTTGTTCTGCTCCTTTGTGCTACTGCTGCCTGAGAGTTTAGTGGGATGTAGTATCTAAGCTATTTCCATCCCCTGCTGCCCTGATCGTCTGCCTCCCTGACTATGAGGATAGAGGAGATTTGCTCCTAATTAACTGAGTGTAATTCTTGGCCAAATCCACTCCAGAAACAGCTTCTTTTTACCACTTAGTGACTCCTGTAAAAGATCCAGCACGGAGAGAAATTTCCTTGCCTTTGATGAGTGACTGAGGATGAGGCAACACAAAACTGTCACTTGAAGTGAGTAATGGGCAAAAGTGAAGGAAGAAAGAAAAGAGGCTTTTTGTCAAGTCAGTAGATTTTTAGCAGCCTGTTCCTTGTTTTTATGCTGAAGGTGTCTTTGGAAGTGCTACTCAGCAGACTTGGCCAGAAGTGAGCTCATTTCTAAAGGTGACCTTCATGTTTCATGCTGTAGAACACCACGAGTTCATTGCTCCAAAATCAGAATATAAGAAATGCCCATTAGACTGAGCAGAGAAGCAGCACAAGGAATGTGTAAAAAAGTATTTCCAAGACTGAACAGCTTCAAATTAACAAATTGCCTTCTTAGATTTAGCAGTATTTACAGCTTGTAGCCTTGAAACCTAATTCCTATGAAGGACCAGCAAGTTGAAAACACTAAAAACCCCCATGGGGTGGGATTGTTCATGGTAATACAATAATGATTAACCCTCTGGAAAGCATCCTAGCCAATTGAGAAAAAATATAGCCCAAGGTCAAGGAGACGCTTGATGGCAAAGTTCTGTGGTGGCAATACCCATGATGGCAAGACACAGGGCTGAAAATTGGGAGCACCCTGGAGAGGGCTGTGCCACCTGTGGATTTTCCGGGGGAGATCTGGAAGCTGCTTAATGCAGAGTTTGCTGGGTCCCATTTACCTGGGTTCAAATCTGAGGAGAGCTGACCTCGGGAAGCTGCAAGCTGCTAATCGAGGAGGCAGCGGTGGGGGGGATAAAGTCCAGATTCCTTCCAAGAAGTCTAATCTCTGGCAAATGTACGCGCACACGCCGTTGCCTTTCCCAGTTGTTGCTGGGGGCTTTGCAATAGGACGCAGCCCCAGCTCCTTGCCGTGCTGCAGCCTCTGTGCCTTGGGAAGAGGGGGAAAGGAGCTGGGGAAGGAGCCTTGCAGGAGAGGAGCGGAGCGGGCGCTGGCCCCGCCGCCGGGCACAAGGGGCGGGGAGGCGGAGGCTGGCGCTGCGAGCAGCGCGTACCTGGAGCACGGGAGGCTGTGGAGAGGAGGGGACAGCGGCGTGAGGAGAGGGCTGAGGGCTGTGCCCCACCGCTTGTGCTCGCCTCCGCCCGTCTTCCAGTGTGCTAGCGAAATTCGGGGACACGTTCTGTTCCCTTATTTCTCTCCTCTCTTCTTCCCCTTTCTGAAGAGAAGAATTAATGAGAAGAGATGGGGAGAGGAACGGGAAAGTGAAATTCTAAGATGCTGCGGGGAACTTTGATCCCTTTCCTCACATCCCTTTCCCTGCGCAGAAATGGCAAAGGCAGCCCGCTCCCCCCGGTGCGGAGCGGCTAGCGTGGGAAAGCAGAGCCTGGCAGCTGAACGAGAATGTGATGCCTGAAGAACCTTCTGCTCACTTTGTACGAGGGATGGAAATCTCCAAAATACTCGGGCTCCTGGTAGAGCTCTCAAGTTTGCTATCCTGTCTCAGATGTGTGGAGGTAAGAAAAGGTTGGTTTTCTATCTGCTTGTAAGTCACATGGCTCTTTTAATATCCTCACTGTAAGTGGATCTTGTTATTACTTAAATATGTTTCTTAGAGCATTTAGGCAGCTGTGGTCTCTGGGAAGGACTGGGGGCTTGGGGAGAGATTTGTTTCATTGTGCATATAACTTCAGAAAAAGAAATAAACCAGGAAAGCAGAATACACAAGGGCTTGCAGATGCTTTGGCTTGGGTTTCCAGTGTTTCTCAGGCACTGCGGTGACCTTGGCAGGAAAGATCCTTTATTTCTGTTCTTTGCTGATTGTCTCTCTTGCTTGTGGACAGATGATTTATAGCTGCACAGACCTGGGACAATGCCTGCAGCATAGGCTGTTTGCACTGAATTTAATTGGTGGCGATGGTCAGCGTTGGGGTATTTTGGAAGCTGCTACAGAAACTGACAGAAACTAATTTTTCATTAGAAGGGAAGTTAATTACTTGGATTGAAGTACTTTTGTTTATGGTCCAAGAAGAGCAGGTTCAGTCTCTCATATATATCCTGTTATTAGTCTGACCCATCCTTGTATCACTGGCAGGCTTACATGTGTCTGCAGGTGTGCACTAAAAGCTAGGGACTGAGGGACCTGGATTGTGGTGCAGTCACAAAAGTACAGCTTAGCTCACTTTCTACTCTCTGCAAATAGCTTTCAGATCCTCAGGTAAGTCCTTCAGTGTAGTTGGTCCAGAAACCCTTATGTGGGCTTGCAACAGCCTGATACATGCAGATAGATGAATTTTTTGCCTGAAAAGGGTTTTTCTGTGTATCTCTTTCACATATGAACCTGAGATCTGATCTGCTACTACTGAACCGTGTCAGGAGTTCGTCTTCCATATGCAGTATCCATTCTGACTTCTGGGAAGTGATGCTGGAGGTTGGCCATGGTTGTCAGCACCTTCTGGATCATATTCATAAGCTTGATTTGAAAATTATATCTGACATGAATAGGTGTTGTTCTTGTCAGGCTTCTGTGGGAATTACCTCTGCTAATTCCAGAAGTGGATTTGGTTTAATTCCAAATTTAACTGTTCCTATTTTCCAGGAAGAGGTGAAACTGAGAGAAGCAAAATGAAGAAAACCACAACCATTACCAATAGCTAGTATCCTTTAGCTGCACATCTCTGCTCTGTGAATTACAACTCTTTCTTCATATTAAAGTATTAGAAATGTTCATTTAGAATGTTTTGAAACAAATTAAACTACAAGGAGCTAGCAGAAGCATGTACAGTTTCTTCTTTTCACTCTGAGTCTGTGAAGGTCTTATACTTGCTTGCCCATCATGTAGCGATGTTGAGTGGAGATCTCTATCTGTCAGCCTACAGTCCCATTACAACCACAAAAAGACCTGCCTGTAAGAGGAAATGCAGTTTTGGGGCCAGACAGGATGCTAGAATTCTGAGGACTTTGTTTCATATTTTTTGGTCTTGGCTTTTTAACCCCATTTCGATAATAACACCATAGGCCATATCATATTTTCAAGTATTAAAAACAAAATCCTCAAAAGGCCTTGGATTTTCTTCCTTGGATGTTTCCCACTTTATACATGGATGTTTATTACCATTTTAACAGGTATTCTCAGGGCATCATCCTGTCACTCAAGTAGAGAAATATCTGCTACTATAGCTGTAGATGACTTGCCCTATAAACAGTGAGAGAATGAGTAGTTATTATTTTTCTTACTGATAATAATGATTTTCTTCTAGATTTCCTTTACATAGGCATATCACTCAGACTTCCGACTCTGTTGATAAAAAAACAAGCAGAGCCCAGTAATGCAGTGCTTAGATCAAGAGTAAATCTCTGCAGGCCAGCAGCTATTCATTTTGTTGCAAGTGGACCGAGCTATGATTGTATTTGAAGAGGAGCAATGGGGAGACCAGGGGAGAGACTGGTTACTGGGGTGTGTTTGCCTGAAGCTGAGCTGCTTTTAGGACATGCCCATGTTTATTTCATTGGATAATCATCTCTGCTTTTGCTGTTTCTTTTCCCAGGCTTTCCTGGGATCCAAGCCCAACCAAAACCACTTGCAGAGTGCAGGTAAGAACAAGAAGTTATTAATTCAGTCATTGGGCAGGCTCTTTCCTCCAGTGGTGATCTGAGACCATAGGCACGATGAACCACTGCTACCTGGCCTTCTTCCTTTCTTTTCATCACTTCTTCAATCTTTTCTCTTGTCCCAATGCCTGTTTATCTCCTTCACCAACATTGCCAGACTACATCTGTTCCTTCATGTTGAATGCTCTTGCAGCTCCCTGCTCCTCCCACATGTTCTTTTCATTTAATCTCTTCCTTTGCCTTGTTCTTTTTTGCATGCTTACCTTTTCTCTGCTCTAATAACTACTGAATTCTCAGACACCCTCTCTGAGGGTCCCAATTGATGCCACACATATGATTTGTTTGCCAGGCATTGACTTCCAACTGCTTCTCATTTTTGCGCCTTGCATTTGACCTTCAGCTGTCACTTACCCCCTCTGGGCCTGACTGTGGCTAGAAGGCAAATGCCATGATGCAAAATTACTTTGTACCCTTGCTCTTTGCCCCAGGTGCAGAAGGGTTTTCTGAAAGTGTTGGCTTCTTTCTGTTTACTTAGTGAATAGAGCTGTAAAAGTCTCTTTCTCAGTCTATCCTTCCCATGTTATGGACTCTATAAAGTCCACAAAACCTGGGTGTTTTTTTCCCACTTCGTTATTTCAGTGCCATGAATGGAGAGTTTTCTCCTTTGTGAAGGACCATAATAAATTAATTATTGGGTATTTCTACACTGGATATTTTACATGGGCACTGAAACATTGGTACCTGCACTTCCCACAAAATAAATTCCCTTTCTCTTCCAATATATTAGCCAAGCTCAGATAAGTCAGTGATCTGCTCATGTGTATTAGGGAACATACATGCAATGAAATACAGTGTCATTTCCCACCTTCCTGCTTTGTACAGTTCTGCTCCAAAGTGAGTACATATATTGCATGTACAGTAATGGGAACCAGTTCAAATTTTCATGTTTGGGCCCTAAGTTAACACTCTTCAAAGGTCTGTCTAGTCAGTTCATTGGTTCAGATCAATTTGTGGTTTAGACAGTGAGTATTATGAATATTCTTTGAGCAGCACCTTGAAGAGCGATAGAGTTTGAATCAAGCAAGCAGCAGCTGAGACTGCAGACACCAGGGGTATTTCTCATAACCATGTTGTGTCCCATGTTGTCTGAGCTTTGGTGTGGTGCCTTAGGTGATGCTAACCCTCCCTTCCTGTGCCCAGCGCCCAGCGTGTGTGCTGTGGGCCCTCTCGGGTACTACAACGGCTCGCTGGCGGTCACCGAGGCCGGGGCACAGTGTCTCAGCTGGGCAGAGTTCCCTGATTACATTCAGCAGTACCCAGACCGCGGCCTGGGGGACCACAACTTCTGCAGGAACCCAGACGGGGGAACAACGCCCTGGTGCTTCTACAGGCTTGTGTCAGGGGCCATTGGCTGGGCCAACTGTGACTGTAACCAAGGTAAGGGCTGTGCTGCCTCAGGGCTCAAGCCAGCCGTGTGTGCTGCACAGACTTGCAAGGGGCAGGTGGAACACCCTGTGAAAAAAGCACTGTACAAAGACTGTTCCAAATTGTTGAAATAATTAATACTAGAGGCTAGCCTGTGTGGGAGAAGAACGTCTGTATATAGTAGGGGGTGGATTTAAGCTGCTGTAGCTGTAATGCCTTGTATAGATGTTTTATTCTCATACAAGGAGACTTCTTTTTTTTTCTACTGCTAACTTATGCCACTTTGGAAACAGTTTCAGTTATGTAGAAAACAACCCACTTCTGCCCCTTTATGGTCCACATCAGAGCATTCCTCTGATGTAAGTGTAGCAGTTCAAATATAAACTTCTTTAATATAAAATCTTCTGTGGCAAGGCAGGTCATTGGCTTGTGTTAAATTTCCTCAGTGCTGGCAGAAGGACTACTGTTTACTTTGAGGCAAGCAAGGAGCTGAGCTCTCTCAATGGATTGGCTGCTGTGCAGCATTTTTGAAAATATCCTGTTTTCTGACCTTCCTTGCTTTTCCTGCATTTTGCAGAACAGTTTAATAAATGAATTGACAGTCTTTTCCCTTGCTAGTGGATGTGCTTTCAAAGATGGCTTCATTAAAGGGAAGAATATAAGTGCAGTGGTGCTGTGTGCCTGCAGTGAGGTGCTGCAGACAGGTGTGTACTTCTGCAAGTAAATAACTGAGTGAGGAGATGTCCTTTCTAAACAGTGGTAAAATTTTTAGTGGGCTGGGAATTGAAAGGGTATTTACACTGGCACTTCCTTTTCTTAGAGAATTTAAAGAGGATTCATCTGTTGTTACTGAACATCTCACTGTAGCAACAGAGTCATGCAGGTGAAGCAGTTGATGGAAATAGATCAGTGGAGTTTCAGAAGTAATTAGATAGATTTACACACACCCTTTGAAGACAGCATGTAAAATCATCCCCATTCCACAGAAGGAGAATCCAAGAGCTTTTGCAGAAGCCAAATTTCCTGCTGGTGTTACCATGGATTTGAAAAGATCATAATAACAACCATCCTCCCAAGCAGCCATTGCTGGAACTGGGAACGTGCACATCCCACACCCTTTCATGCACATCACTTTAGTGCCAGCACAGGTAAAACAGGGATGAAAGAAGCCAAGTGCAGTTCAGCTCAGCTACTTGCAAAGTCCAAGACTTGCTGGTCTGAACCTTCTATCAGCAGATAGCAGCTGGTTTTTGGTTGGTTTTTTTTCTCCTTTGGAAGGTGCTGTGCGGTTGGCTGAAGACAGTAGTGTGGAGCTGTACTTCAATGGACTCTGGGGTACCATCTGTGCTGACCACTGGACTGACTGGGATGCCAGTGTTGTCTGCAGGCAACTTGGTCTCAGGTGGGAACCTCAGTCTGGTTGTCAGAGGTACATACTCATGTGACTTTTGAAAGAGCAGCCTCTGTGGTTACAGTCCCTCTGGCACAGTGTGTTGGCTGGCAGAAAGGAGTTTGTTTTGTGGTATGATTTCCCACTTACCAGGGTCCTTTTGTACTGTTTTCTTTCTGTGGCTATCCCCAACCCAATCAGCATTTGCAAGAATTTTTTCAAACAATAGTTTCTGCTTTATGCTCCAGGCTGTGAAGACTGAGCTGTGAGATCACATTCCCTTTTTATGATCATCAGCTGGCGTTACTTTAGTGCTCTAACAGAAATTTTAGGAGTATGAACTCTCTGGGTATCTGGGATTTGGACATTCAAACTTCCAAACAGCAAGGAGATAAGGTCCACAGAGAGGGAAGGTGATTCAGATAGTTTGGTGTTTGAGTCTATTGATGGGTTTGTTCATTGCTTTCAAACAAGAGTGCCATTTCTGACTACACCAACTCCTCTGCCGTAGGTGGGCACATAAAAGGATTAGGAAGTGCTGTGTGCTTGCTTGTGCTTTCCCATTAGATTGTAAATGGGCACCCCTTTATGCACTTCCAATTAACTGGGCACACCAGGATGTGAAATGCCACAACTGGACTGGAGAGTCACAACAGTGGAAGGAACTTGTAAATGAAGCCATGCTGTGGCATTTCATTGCTCTGTTGCATCCTCTGTACCAGTGAGATTGGCACAGCTGGGAAGAAGAGTCATTCTGGACCATGGCCTGTTCCCCTGCACCTGCAGTCAGCAAACTGCCATGGAGATGAGGAAGCCCTGCTGCAGTGTGGCTATCAGGAAGCTCTGTCAGGACCTTGTAACCAGGGGAGTGCTGTGGTAACCTGTGTTCCTCCAGAAGGTAAATCTCCAGGGAAAGATCTCAATCTCCCAAAGACGGCTGATGCTTATGACCACATCCCCTTTTTATCAAGCCAGGTTTTTGTCTGCAGGCAGAAAACTCCTGGTCACTACAGCAGTCAATTAAGGAGACAGCTCTGGACCAGCAGTACCCCACTCAGGGGCTGCAGTCATGGGTACTTGTGGGGGTCTAGAAGGGAGGATGTGATAAGAGAGCATCACGAGAGCTCCTCTAGCTAGAGAATGATTCTACACCCTAAACTGCTGGATGTGCTTTGTCTCTGTCTTGTTCTGTTGTGCTCTCTTTCCCTTTCTTGAAGCACAGGTGTAGGTGCCCCACTTCGTATAGTTGGGGGGAAGGAGAGCTTTGAAGGGCGAGTGGAGGTTTACCATGATGGCAAGTGGGGAACCATCTGTGATGATCAGTGGGACGACCGGGATGCTGAAGTAGTCTGTAGACAGCTGGGACTCAGGTAATTTCCTTGCTGTATGTCATGGAGCAGTAGTAGAAGTAGGCAGAATGAAGAACATGAGAGCGTGTCCCTTCATTGTCCCTTTACTGCCCTTCACAGCCCTTCCTGTAGGAGATATACAGAAACTCTGGGAAACATGATTCTGGACTGATCATCCTATGAAGGGATTTTGTACCCCCATTATTTTCAATGTTATGGATTTGTGCTGTGTAAAAAAAAAAAAAAAGAAAAAAAAGGTACATTCCTGACTCAAGATTGTTTGTGTTTACCCTTGTTCATCATTTTTGCATACGTCCTGATACAAACCTTGTTGGGCTCAATGACAACTTGTAATGGTGATTTCCATATGTGAACTGCAGCTGCTTACTTGGTTAAGTTTAAACACATCTAGTTTCACTGGCTGCCCTTATCCTCTTCAGACAGGAAAGCAAGAGAAACCACCTCATTCTTCTGTGTACCATTCAATGCTTAACATGGGAGCTGTTGTATACTGAGCATTCTTGAAAATCACATCAGTACAGGATTATTTAAAATAGATTGTTCAAATTTGAGATCCCTCAATCTTTAGGAGTTTTGCCTGTTATAAGATTGTAACTGAGACTGATGTTACATCATTGTCTGCAGAAGTCTGAACTGTTTGTGTTGTAGTAACATTTTTGTTATTTGCTGGAAGGGCTCATTACAAACTTTCCAATAATGTATTTCACTTAACAGTTGGCAACTCCACTGTGTCAAAAATACAGATGATCTATGGGAAGATAATGACCCAGCATAGGAGAGTCCCTGTGCAAGGCAGAATCTGAGCACACAAGACTGTGGCCTTCCTTACTGAGCATACATGTCTGTAATGTTTACAGTGGGACTCCAAAAGCCTTGTCATGGGCTCACTATGGACAGGGATCTGGCCCAATCCTGCTGGATGAAGTGCAGTGCTCAGGGAATGAACTCTCCCTTGATCAGTGCAAGAAGAGTGACTGGGGACAGCAAAACTGTGACCACATTGAAGATGCTGGGGTCTCCTGTGACCCTTTCACAGGTACAGATGTACAGCTCTGTCAGATGCAGTCGGTCTCACCTCCACATTACTCAGCTTGCTCAGCAGGTAAGGCCCTGCTTCAGGATCCTGAACAGCTTCCATATATGGCTGCCATAAGGGCTGCTGGATGTGGAGGCAGAGAGTAAGGGAATGGATCAGAGGCAGACTTGGTGATGTTCCTACGGTTTTGCTCAGGTAGTGTGGAAAGGCTGAAATGAATCCTCCCTTGACAGATGGGTGTGTTTGGAAGTGATGTTTGTATTTTGAGTACCCACAGACATCTGTCTCTTTTGTTTCTTTCACTCGTGGGGGGTACAGAGACCTAGCCGTGGTGCACAGGCTGTTTCTTTTCTCCCCTGCTGAGGGCTGCCCCTTCCTTCTCCCACCCCCTGCAGAGGGCACGGTCCGGCTGGCTGGCGGCCGCAGCCCCAGCGAAGGCAGGGTGGAAGTTTACTACAATGGAGACTGGGGCACGGTGTGCGACGATGGCTGGACAGACCTCGGCGCCCAAGTGGTCTGCAGGCAGCTGGGCTTCAGGTATGACTGAGAGTGTGCAGTGTCTGTGCTTCCTAATTTCAAGGATTAGATTCCATCACCCTTCACTGGGATAGGCTGGATCTTAATCCTTCAACGCTGTCTTTGTTAGAAGGCTTATTACCATTATGCAACTTAGGAAAAAAAGATTAATAGGTATCCACATCCTTTCCAAAGGGCAAAAATAAATCTATAATTTCTTGCCTCAGCCTGTTTTGAAAGCAGATAACAGGCTTAATACTGTCCATATGAACCCCTCAGCAAAGTCCAAGAATCTTTTTTAATGCTCCTTAATTTTGCAGGTGTCACTTCTGCTCTGTCAGTAAAAGGATATCACCTATCTGCTCCAAATGTATCACCCTCAATAGCTGAACAAAGACCATTAGGGCAAAAAAGAGTAGTAATAGGGATTTTCAGCCCATTGCTGAGCTGTCATCCCTTCAGGTAGGAGTTTGGGAAAGATTTAAAATCAGGATACTCTTGGCTTTGAGCTAGTAAAATGGGGTTATGTGGATTTTTTTAACATGATTAGGGTCTTTTAAAATTTCAACTTTATAGATGAAAGAAAGACTGTAATACATTATTTCCTTTGAGTTCAGCTACATACTATCTTTTAGAGCCTCAAAGTTTGCAGCTTTCTGCAGTTCAATTCCAGGTAGCTGTTTCCTATAAAAAGAAGTAGAATTACTTAAATGTCAACATTTTTGACGCCTCCTGCCAGCCCCTCCTCAAACTGATGTACCTGCTATAACTGCAAAGCAGCCTCTGCTGGCCCTCTGTGCTTTTGACCGTGCCTTTGACCAAACACGAGAAAATGGACTGGTCTGAGAGGCCCCTCTGAAAACCGAAGCTGGCGGGATGTGAGGGTGCTTGGTTGTCACACTCTGTGTCCACTGAGTGGTTTAGGTCAGGAGGCCACCAGTACCATGGTTAAGTGGGGGAGTTTCTCTTTGGATCTGAGCTTTGGTCCTTCTGTGGCACTTAGAGTTTCAATGTTATTTTCTGTTTCCTTCCTCTAGTGGTCCTGCTGCTCTGGCCTCTGAAGGAGACTATGCTGCTGGCCAAGGCTTCATCTTACTGGATGATGTGGCATGTGTGGGGACAGAGCTGTCTCTCCTGGACTGTCCCCACAGCAACTGGGGGCAGCATGACTGCTCCCATGCTGAGGATCTGGGAGTCCGCTGTTCCCCAGAAAGCAACACGGTCATGGATGGCAGCCTGGGTAACTCACCTTGCTCTTGCCCTGAACAGTGGGAAAGTTTCACCTTCTGGTCTATTCCCTTGGAAGCTCTGGCAGATGTGGGAGTTTTCCCTGTGCTGTTTCAACAAGAAGTATGCTTTTTGAGGAGGAATGAGCCCTGGCTGAGTTGGGGCAGAACCACAAATCTGTGGCTCCACCAGACCTACTATCAGACCAGCATATAAATGGAAACTGGAGAGAGTTTTATTGGCAGTCTCTGAAACAAACCTCAGGGTCTGAGGGACAGTGGCTGCCTTTGTGTGCCATTGCTCAAGGGAACCCTTCAACTAGACCTTTTAGGAAACTTGGGTGTGGTTACATTAGTGCCACATCTTGCCAAGACAGGAGGATTTCAGATGCAAAGGGTTGCTGTTTGCACTCCTTTGTGTGGATGGCAAAATTCTAATTCAAATTGTGAAAGTATTTCAAGTTAGTATAATTTCTTAATTTATATAATGCCTCACGCTCTCCCCTTTCCTTACTACAGGAGACTTTCCAGTTTGTCAGACATTTGTTAGTGAAATAGTTGGCATCCAACATTTTTGTTTTTCCTGGATGTAGAACCTTTCTCTTGCTTAGAATCATGTAGTAGTTTTACAATTCAATGGATTTTTTTCCCAGGCATGTTTAAGCTTGTCTAACTCTTGGCTTAGGAGTTAATAACTTTCTTTCTGTTCTTGTTCTTCTCTTTACTCAGCTTTCAGAGTATGATCCACTTATGATTTCCAGTATGTATTAAATAAATTAGTATGTATATAGTCTTCTGATTCAGCACAGAGGTAAAATGTCTTCATATAGACACACTTCTTTCTTTTTTTTTCTTCCCCCCCCCCCTTTTTTTTTTCTTTTTGTTTTAAGCTTACTGATATCTGGGATTAATAATTTTCCATAGAACCCAAGTTCTGGACACCTGACCCCTCTGGTTATTTGGATTGCAGCAGCCCATGTGTTTTGTCCTTCAGGGCCTCCCGTGCGGCTGGTGGATGGAGAGAGCAGCAAGGAGGGCCGGGTTGAGGTATTGCTGAACGGGCAGTGGGGCAGTGTCTGTGACGATGACTGGACAGACAGAGATGCTGCAGTGGTTTGCAGGCAACTGGGATTTAGGTAAGAGCTGTGCTACAGGCATCTTCCAGGCAGAAACAGCTCTCAGGAGCACTTCTGGACTTGTTTCTGGGGGCTTAGTTTTGGAACAGCCAGATATGCTTGAGGGAGTAGGTTGCTCTTCTCATTCTACTACTGTCTGTGTGTGGAGTGACACATAAATATTATTCCACTTAAAATGCACTGGTGCCTCAGGTTCACTTGGCTCCTGCTCACTGCAGATTAGCCACCTTCTCTCTAATTGCAGTGGTACAGCAAAAGCCAGGGCAATGGCTTATTTTGGTGAAGGCCATGGGCCCATCCATCTGGACAACATAGAATGCAGTGGCATGGAGCACACCCTGGGGCAATGTGCCACACCTGACACCAGGATTCACAGCTGCTGGCACAGTGAGGATGCTGGGGTGATCTGTGACTATGTGGAAGAAAAGATCCAAGATATCAGGAGAACAGGTGACATTCCCATTTCTTCTATGCAGGAATCTGGAGCTCTGGTTTAGAATTTCTGCATGCTTTTGTGGTTTTTCCCTGTCATTCTTGTCTTCGGCTGAAACTTAACCTACAAAATAAGCATGTCCTGTCCTGCACCTCCTATGTTTTTCTTGTTTTCAATGTATCTTCTTAGAAGCACAGAGTGTTCCAAATTAGTCTGAGGAGCTCCACCCATGTCAGGCCTTTGAGACTGCAGAATTTCCCCACAGCCAAGTCACCATATACTTCCTTAGAACAGCACCCATAAGCAACCTTTGGGGTTTAGAGTACTGAGGAAGTATAAGTATAGGTCCCGCTCTTGGCGTGAGACTACAGAGACTTCAGGTAATCACCTCCAGTGAAATTAAGGAAACCTGGGGGATCAAATGTTCTATGAATTCCATAGGCACAGCACAACACAGTCAATTACCTTGAGGATTAATGCCCTCAGAGAAGCTGAATGGCATTTGGCTCTGTGACAGCAATGCTGATACTTAAGGTGAAGGTCCCTACCCAGCGGCTCTAACTTTGCCATGCAGGTCCAGAGTCTGGTGTGTGTGGGATGCGCCTGCTTCATCGTCGCAAGAAAAGGATCATAGGTGGAAACAAGTCTCTGAGGTACTACTTTGTAATTGCTGAGTCAGACTGGTTCCAGCTTTCCTTCAGGCTCTGGAAATAGCTTGGCAGATGCTGACTACATTAATGCATTTTCACTGGTGATTTTTGAACTTGGTTTAAACCAGTATCTAGGGAAGAATGCAAGCCAGCTGAGCTCAGATGAGACAGTGGATGGGAAAAGAGGAAAATGGCCCCCAGGTGTGTGAGACCACTTATTCCCATTTGTTCTTCAGAGGCAGTTGGCCATGGCAGGCCTCACTGCGGCTGAAGGGTTTTCGTCGAGATACTCGTCTGCTGTGCGGAGCAACGCTGATCAGCAGCTGCTGGGTGGTGACTGCAGCCCACTGCTTCAAAAGGTGTGTTTGGGAGTGGGGAGCCCCAAGGAATACTCAATGATGGACAAGATAACCTCATACAAATTTATCCTCCTAGCCCAGTGGAACTACACGAGCAAAGTTTCTAAAGATCTTCAGGTTATGATGTGTGATCTTGGGGTACTTATGGAGACAACTCAGTACATACTTGCTTTTTCCCTCACTGCTTACACCTGGCCTCTTAACTCTGAGGCTTTACAGCGTAAAGGGAAACAGCATTTTGACATTTTAAGTGCTTTAAGGAATTGTGAACAGGTCGGTTCACAAGCCTGTTGCAACTATATTAATAATTTTTATCAGAACAAAAGCTCTGTGCCTGGTAGACAGTGATTTGGGACACCAAATCTGCTAAAGAGGTCCCACAGTCCTGCAGCTGGAATTGTTTTACCACTGTGGTGTAAGGATGTGGTTCAGTCTCATAGCAACTGAGACTTGTGTAAGTCTGCTTTCCTTTAGCAGGAGTATTGAGATCTTGAGTGTGATTTTCTCCAGGTTTGGTGCTGATGTGCGGCGCTACCTCCTGCGCGTGGGCGATTACCACACAGGTGTGAAGGATGAGTTTGAGAGGGAGCTGCCTGTGGAGCGGATTGTCCTCCACAGGAACTACTGGGCTGGCAGCAATGATAATGACATAGCCCTGGTCCGGATGCGGGGCAGAGAAGGGCACTGTCTCTCCTTCAATCACCACGTTCTGCCCGTCTGCCTGCCTGACAGGAGAGAGAGGTCTGACATCAACAGGCAAGCCTGCATCATCTCTGGCTGGGGAGACACAGGTGAGTGGTGGGGCTTTGAGAGGCAAGAGAGGTGAGGAAGTTTGCCTTCAGAAGCCTATATGGGCAATTAATTTATGTCAATTCAAGGCTATGTTCTCACTGCTCCCATTGTCTGTGCCAGTACATGGTGCTACGGAATAGGAAGAATAGGAAGATGAGCTGGGTTTTGTGCTATTGCATTTTCATCTGATTTTGAGTCTTATTGAGTCTGCTCAAAATTGGTGAAAGCTTTGGTTTCCATAGCATCCCTCTGAAGCTGTGGGAGAGACCAATGCTGCCATCTGGCCACAGTCCTCTCTTTCTTCCCATTTCTACACATGTGTTTGCCCACAGTAGACCCCTAAGGGAGCAGCCTGTGCAGAGCTGCTATACCAAGCCTGTGAGAGGCCTCCATGTTTCCATGGCCTGCCTTCTTCATGGTACTGTCAAAGTGAAGTGAGAGCTTAGAGATAGAAGGAGCTCTCAGTGATAAATCTCTCTTGGACTACTTTGCTTAATCTCCATGTGTATTTCTGCAAGGACAGATGGACTCTGAGTCTGGTTTCTGCCCTGGGTTCAAGACAGCCTGGACCTGTCCCCTTTGAGCATATGTGAAGTGAAGCTTCCTAGATAAAAGGGAGCATGGAGGCCTTTCTGGGGCTGCTATGACTGGAGAAAAGCCATACGTTTAGAAAGGTTTCCTGCCAAAAGCCCCAGGAGCTCATCTGCTGATTTTGGACTTGCCCGTCCTCCTCAGCTGTTTCCCCAGCTATTACCGCAGCTTTTAACTGCAAGTACATATCTGCCTTTGGAGTCCAGTTGTGCCAGTTGCACGTGTCACTTCAGGATGTTTGGGGTGGATCAAGGAGCAACTTAGCCATGTAACTACCTTAAGTTGTACTGGAGCTTAGTGGCTAGAATCCTTCCCACGCACCAAACGCTGCTTTCTCAATGAGGAGCAGTTACCTACTACCTTGTGAACTTACATAAACCTTGGGCACAGAGAGGTCATACTCTAATATAGCATATTAGCCTTATGTTCTGAGCAACCCTGGGCTAATAAAGAGATGGGATCAAATAAACTCAAGTCTGGCCAAAGATGAAGGGAATTCCCTTTGAATAATATTTGAATGCCTCTGAAACATCTTCTAAAACTTCTCTGAGGACTGAGCACTTAACATATACTACTACATTTATTTTCTTGAGAAAACACTGTCCTTGCTTTACTGAGGAGGAAATTGAGATTTGGAGAGGTGAGATAAATTGAACAAGGTTCAAGTTACTTGTTGACAGACTCAGGAGTAAGACTCATCCTTTGATCTAACCTTTTTCTACAACCCTCTTCCCCACATCTTTGATCTTAGAGCTCTTTTTTTGTGGTCTGGCTTGGCCTCACTGTTTTCTGAAGTTCTTGTGGTTTCAGAGATGCTGAGCTCAGCCTATTTCTGTGCTGCAGACTTGACAAGAAATGTGTAGGTGTCTGGTTGCACTGTTGCACCAGGTCACTACTGTTGCCTGTATGTGAATCAGTCTGGCTGGTCTGTTTTATTCCAGGGAAGTCCTATTCCAGAACCCTGCTGCAGGGGGTGGTGCCCCTTCTCCCACGGGAAGACTGTGAGGCTCGTTACGGGCGGAAGTTCACCAACCGCATGATTTGTGCTGGGAACCTCTCTGAAGATAAACGGGTGGACAGCTGTCAGGGTGACAGTGGAGGGCCACTCATGTGTCAGAGATCAAATGGACGCTGGATCATTTTGGGCATCACTTCCTGGGGGTATGGCTGTGGTCGGAAGGATTCGCCCGGTGTGTACACAAAGGTCAGCAAATTCGTACCCTGGATCAAGAAAGTGACCAAGCTGAAATGAAAATGACTGAGCCCTTGGAATTTCAGCACGTGGTCCTTTTGCCCTGCAGCAGCAGAAGGCTGTGGCTTCTGGTCTGTGACTGATGGAGATTTTGACATTGGACATTGGCAAAAGATTTTAATGTAGAATTGGAAGGAAAAGAGTTATGACTGATTCTTTAAAGTTTTTGGTTTCACTTTAGTCTGTAATCTGTAAGCAGAGAAAGCAGGTGCACAGTGGTAACAATGATCAGTATATGTTGCTCTAAATATCTGAATCCTTTAATGCAATCACACTTATTCCTTTGCCCTGGCCCACAGAAATGGTAGAAGTAGAGAGATACCTACTGCTGCAAATCTATTCATGGTTGTATGTTTGGACAGTTGAAACATGCCACAAGGAGAGGTGAGATGCTTGGAAGATGGCACTAGGTGCTGGCATAGTGGAAATCTTCAGATTTTTTTTCATAACAGCTCTCTTCAGTTCCAGGAATCAGAAGATTTGACCTGAGTTGAGGAACAGACCAACAGTTGGGTTTTTTAGCTTCCCTGATATGTCTCTAGGGGGAACCTTTTCTCTTCTGAATAGTAGGTCTGCTCCCATAGGATCCTTTTCAAGTGTCTGCCTAGACTAAGAGATGCTTGTCCCTCCTGCTGTAATCCTTTGTCACATTTCCAGCTGCCAGATGCTGTGGTTTTATTGCTGCTTTTTTGCTATAGTAGTTTGTGTGTGTGGTTGGGCTTTTTTTTACTTCCCCTAAATAGCATCTTCTAGCATCAGTTGGTGTGAGAGGCAGTAGCTTTCTTGCCCTCATGATTACTATGAAGAACTTAAAAGGCTGACCTCAAGTGGCTGAATAGACATGTCATTTCTTTTAAATCCAAATGTAATGTTAATCTCAAACATTCAGGCATTGAATCATGATTTAACAGCACTATGGGGACTTCCTACTGGTCTCTTATTCATCATAGTTATTAGCTGCCCTTTGTTTGTGCTGCTAGTCTTTAGTATTTCTGTGTTCACAGTTTTCCATGAAACATGGAATTACTCCTGGCGTACAGATACACCTCAAGCAAATTACTCACTCCTTGTGAAAAACAGTAAGTGTGCTGCTAAGCATCCCACTTTGGTGAAGTGTGTCCTATTCTTGAGACCTCTGGGCATGCTTCCTTTTTTCTCTTATTTGCACTCTTTCCGTTGCTCTCAGTGGGCGTAAACTGGATTAACTCGAGGGTATGCAAGCACTATTATCAAGCTGTAGTTCTCAGCCTGAACAGATACAATGCTGAGAGAAAGCAGGGGTTACTGAATATTACAATTTCTTCCTTCTGTTTCAATCCAAACAAATGAACAGAATTCCTTCTTATGCCTTAAGCACTTTTTAAAGTTAATATATTATTCTTGAGTAGTAAAAAAAATATAAGTAGACAGAAGGGCTAAGTGCCTTAATAACTGTGCAGTGCAGCATCTTCTCACTGTGTACAGATAAAGCAGAGAGGAGACAGGTCTGTGCAGGAGGAGGAGTAAAAAGCTTTGATGTATAACCAAGGGCTTAAATGTGGAGGATTAATACAGAATGGGACACGTGGAACTTGTGCCAGATGTGCATGTTTTGGGTAGGCAGTAACTGGGTCAGGCACTGACCTGCTGTCTGAAAGGTTTGCACTCAGGGCATTGAGGTGTTCAGTATCTAGATATTACCAATGCAAGAACAGAAGGCAGAGCACAGTCTCTGGATTAGCAATGTCAAATTACAGGGCAAGTGGTGACAGAATCCTAGAAATTGCCTTGGATTCAAGAAGTACTGATTGCCTAAAGCTTTAATTTGTCTTCTATAAATTAGCTTAATGTAGAGGTGCTGACCTGACTAGGTGGCTGATTTTTGTGTGTGAAGGCTAAACTCTATAGTTTCATTTACCCTATCCAGGTATTATAGGATAGTTGGACTACCAGTGTTGCAATGCACTTTTCTAAAATCCTGCTTGCAAACTTTATTTTAATGGCGAATTGTTAGAATTTTTAAAACATGCAATGTCAGGAACCCTGCAAACTGGCCTTTGAGACAAATCTGATCTGTTTGTGCCTCTTCTCGAGGTGCTGAATGTCTTCAGCAGAGCTTTGTGCTGATAACCCTGTTTAAAATGCCAGACTTGTTCCCTTGGCACCACTGTGCTTGGCTCCAATGGCCAAGTTGTCCTATGGCTCCTGGAAGAGTCTCTAAAATGCAAGCTGCAGACTGCTCCTTGTCTCCCAGGCATTAAAATGCCAAGAGGACTGAGGGAAATTATGTCACAGACCTCTCATCTTGTGGGGGATTAAATGCCAAGTTCTGTACTGGCAGGAGCAGTACCTGTCTGGGAAAAATGGAGGGATTTGACTTTTACCTTCAGCTTCCCCTAAGCCAGCATACTACAGCAGCTCAAATGGAGTTTCTGTGCCTTGAATGCTGCCACAGCTCTAGTTTTACCTGATTTGATCTTTCAGTTTATACCCATAACCCCAACAGGGATAGAAACACCCAAAGGATGACACTGTGAGGTTATTTCCCTAACCTTACTTAGCAAGTGGCCATTCAGGAGTTGGCATAAATTACCATGTAACACAAGTGAGATGTGGGCCTGGCATTGTCTTCTGAAATTCCCATGTTCTAGTTTAAAATATTTCTTTCTCCTAGATCTTGTCACTATGAAAGCTGTGAGAATCCTTGTAATTACACCCTTTGAGTGCTGCATGAGCCAGGAGGAGGGAAGGAAGTATCCAATCTCTTTTGCCTGCTTTTATACCTTGCTGGTGCTGTAGGTGAGCCTGTCAGTACTCTCCTACATTGACCAGGCCTGTTTCAGGACACAGCTGTTGCTCTTCACTGTTTAACCTGGGACTGTGGCCCAAACCAAACTCATGTGCTTTGCCACTGAGGCTTACTGGAACTGCCTGGTTGGATGAACAGCACGCAGTCACCCTAGGACTGTATTCTGTAATGTTGGACAGCAGCAGATGTTTCAAAGGATAGTATGTGTGAGTTGTGCTGAACAAGTTTTAACAACCTTTCTTTCTGGGGAATTTTGTTCTTGACCCATTTAAATTAATTACTTGCATTACTATTATCTTATTATAATAGCAATGCAAGTAATATTATTATAATATTATCATTAAAAATGGAAGTACAAATACTTGATCCTCTAGGTGCTGTACAAACACTGTGCACTATTCTTCTGTCATTCTTTTTTTTTCCCTAAAGTGTAAGATTTTCTATTCCTAACTTTTAAAACCTATTTAATGTAACCAGCCTTCATCTTCCATATAAATGTTTAAATTTTTTTATTTTAATCTAACTAAGCTTTCAATCCTAGTATTTTCTGGCAATGAAAACCATTATAATTTTATTCTCCATAGCACATAATTTCTTTTTATGGTTCCGGAATTAATTGCCTTTTGTTTTCATTAAGTACCATCTGTCCTTGTGTTCTCAGCCACGAGAGGAAATAAGGGGCCTGGCTTTATATTCTCTGTTATACATTTTTCTAGAGATAGTTCCTTTTCTAAGGCTGTGGCTTCTCTCTCTCTTCAATCCAAACTGTCAAGGTGTCTCATAACATGCTGACTGTCTCTCTGTCTTCTCTTTCTGATGGATCTTTAAACTTTGGTAAACAACTGAATGCACTTTGCCAGGGGAGGCTGTATCCCCTGCTGATTATTTGAGTACAGTTTTCTATAGCAGGCAATTCTGTAAGTGATTTCAGTGCTGTGTCTGTATGCTGGAGCTAGTTTTAAACTTGCTAGTGTGGTCTTGGTGGCAGCCTTGCTTCAAGGGGATGAAAACCCATTGAGGTTAGCTCCCCATGTGTCTCAGGTAGGTGCAGCAGTCCCACCAAGCTCACAGAAATTGTTGTAGGTCTGTCTGAGGAGCTCTGGGCAGGGAGCACCTGGAGAGCTGTGTAGAGCTTTCCCTGTGCTGACAGACATGGAGGGCTGAGACTGTCCACCTTCACAGCACTAGTCCTTTGGACAAGGCTAATGCATGTGCACTGCTTCCAGGAGCTGAGAGCTCAGTCAGTGTTGCTGGTGGCTGCACTGTGCCACATGGATGCTCTGAGAGAACTTTCCATAGCAGAGTTGGCACATCATGGTTCTGTGAGAAAGGGAACTTCACTGTGAGTGGCTAGGAGCATTGGCAGGGGTAGAAACATGGCTATGGTAAGGATCTGAGGAGCAGCTCTTAGTGCTGCTCCTATCCCTCTTTGAGAGAATACTGCAGTCCTCCAAAGGCTGCCCCAGTGCTCCAAAGGCTGCCTCAGTACTGGGGTCTTCCTGCCCTGCAGTGCCTGCAGTGGTACTATCTCAAACCTGTTCATACTTTGGCGACCTGAAGCTGGATTAAAGATTTATCACTTTCTTGTGGCTGAACACTGTTCTGATGATTTCTATGAATTATGTTCTATGCTGTAATTACTCAGGCAGCTGTTTATTAACCTGGACATAATGTCAATTATCCTTGTAATCTCTGTAAACCTGTAGCAGAAAATAACAATCAGTTTCTCTAAGGTATGACTGGAGGCATTGGTGAGGAACAAGAAAAGTGGGCATTTGCTATCTCAGGGGTAATAGAGGTACATCTGCCTTTTGTCTGTCTTCCTTCTTTCTGAAGCCTGTATCCTGAAGACTTTTCACCCCAAAAGAGCTGCAGTGATTCATCAACCACTTGAAGAGAGATTTTTATGTGTATATTTGGCAATCAGATGAAAACTTCAGAGAGATGAAACTACACAGTGGTATTTAACACTATTTTGATACACTCACTGGGAGTTTCTTACAGTTAGAGAGAACAGAATCACCTCTGGTGGTAACCAAGTTGGGACTACTCCTTGTAGAACAAGGCAACTTGAGCTGGTCTAATGCACATCTCCTGGGCTGCGTTTTCCCTTGTTTGGAAAATTATTTAATTTTCCACATCAGAAACTTATTTGTGTAGTAGCCCACTCAAGTCCTATTAAAATCCTGTTCTACTAAGGGCTGAGTACCTCTGAAATCAGTCAAGTGCCAAAGCTGTTATGTCCCCCGGATCACCACCAATGGCTCACAAGGTATGCCAATAAATGGATTATACTGTGACTGTGTGGGGCTCTGTCTTATATTTAATAAAAGAATCTGTTCCAAGGGCAGATTTTTTTTTTTTCAGCACTGAGTTAATTAAATATTTCTATTAACATTACTTTTTTAGAAGCTTCAAAATGGTAAAGCATGTCACAAAGTCAGCATCACATTAGCTGCCATTCCAGTGAAAGGCAACAATTCTTCAAATGTCACATTTTTGCCATTTGGAACAGGTAAAGAGCAGGTCAGCTCGTTGCATTTAAAAAGTTCACAGGCTTTAATACATCAGCTTTCTAATTTGTTGTTAAAGGTGATCTTCCTATACAAACTTGTTCTGCATGACTTAGTCTCCTTTTAGTCTACAATTCATGTGTCATCACTCTTGAGAGTCAAAGCCAGCCTCTGGAAAAGTGGAAGTGGGAAAATTTTTGAGTGAGCCATTGGTTCAAGAACACTGTTATACTCTACCCATGCTGCCCCACTGCTGAAACCTGAATTTCTGTAAAAAAAGTTTGTTTTGAAACATGGTCCAGCTCCTTGCAAGGTCTGCAATGACTTTTCCAAGTCATTAGGGTCAGACTGAAGCTCGGTGTAGCTGATGCCTTCAGACTCCAAGAGTTATAGTGTGTAAGTACTGACTCCAGCCTGCTGTTGGAAACCAACATGCACTCACTGAAGAAAGAACTGAAAGAACTGCTTGTAGTTAACACTTTCCTCACTTCATGTCTGCTTTTGGGATTTTCTACACCTACCTACATTTCCCTTCTTGCTTGAGCAAAACTGGGAAGTGGAGTTCAGGCATTTCAGCTGGTCTTCCATGGGTCAGCAGGCACAGTTTCATCACATCAGTCCTGCAGGGCTCTTCTGTAGTCACTGCCTGGAAAAGAAACAATGTTGAAGCTGTGATTAAGGTTACAAGTCTGTCAAATATAATTTTGTATTACAGCACTTGACTACTGCCTTCCTGAGGTGAAAAGGCTGGGGAGGATTGTATGGCAGGACCTTACTTGTTTCAGATGGGCTACTCTTAAGACATCTTTGGATTTTGAAACTGAAATATGAATGAGGAGAAAACTGAGCTTTACTCCATGTGGTTTTCTAACTAGGATAGCTACCACATTAATTGGGAGAGAGGAAGAAGGGCACTGAGGTATCACCACTGACAAAAAAAAATCTTACTTGGGTAAAATTTCCTCTTACTAGTGGAGGGAGAGAGGATACTGCTCAAATTGCCTTGGTTTGCTGGGCTGAGTCCTGTGCTGTTCTTAAACTGGTCTGTTTAGAACAGGTCCCTGGCATTGGTAGGAGGTTTCTATGGAATTCTGTTTATGTGAAAAAGTGAAAAGAGGAAGCAGAGCCAGCAAAATATGGATGGTCCAGCTGGAGTAATTTATGTTTAGAAAACCTTTGGATTTAAGATGTGCTGATGGAGGACAGGTGTAGGACAGACAAATTCCTCAAGTGCACCATTTGATCTTCTCCTCCCTGCTTTTCAAATCCCACACATTCTGCCAGAAATAAAAGGCACTGTTCTCTTTGCAGATTTTCAAAACTAGCCTGTCACCTGAAAGGAAGAACCAACTTCTTTGGATCAGCTTTACTAATGAGAAGCTGTGAAGCTGTGTTGCTCTGTCAGCTAAGCAGAAGGCCTTGTGTCTCCTATCCTTTTGTATCTGCAGTGGCTTTCATGCATGCATCAGGTCAGCTAAGGGCTGAGCTGGGAACAGGGGGAACTCAGTGCTGGGCTCATGTTCAGTTGCTGCCCAACAGAAGAAACAAGCAGGCAGGAATTAAACTTTCAGCAAGTTAATAGTGTTGGGAAGCATGTGCTGAGGATGTTTTGGTTCCCAGCCCCTGGCAGCCCTAGGGCTCAGGAGCCAGCAGCAGGTACTGCCAAAGGTACTGTCTCCTGTGTGCCCACCTGCCAGCCTGCACGGCGCCCTCCTCACTGCACAGACTGCAGATTTACTGTGCAATGTGAGTGGACAACTCAGCTGAAACCACTGCAGAAGTTTATACTCTTCTGCCACTTTCATCTTGGAAACAGGACACAACTACTTCAAACAACAACGAAACCCTTTTTTTGCAATTTAACTAATCTGCTCTGTGAAACCAGAGCTGTATGAAAAGAACATGTGCTTCTAAAGGTTAGTTCCTTGCTCTTTTTCCCCCTCCCCACTCGCACGTACAGGCTTGCTGCAGGTAAAGTAGGATTATAACCTCTGATTGTGGGATTCTAGAGCCAGTAACCAAACATACCAGAGGAAAGCTCCTTTGCTTCAGGTTTACTATTTTGTTATCTCTTGCAAGACTAAGAAGCAGATTCTGTTATTCTACACAATTATACTGAAGTCTCAATAGAAAGCCTTTTAACTCCCCATATGCTTAAGCCACAGCTAGGTTGATTAAGACTTGAAAAATCTTTATTTTCCTGCAAGGCTTGTCTTCAAGTTACATGGGTTTAACAATTTGGTTAAACTGATGCAACTTTGTGGTTGAAACTTAGGAATGATGTACTATTTAAATCAGATGCCTCTGTCTAGATGAGTCAGGGATAACCACACACAAGATTCCTGAAGAAATAAGCAAAACGTGCCACTACTCACTAAATTCCTACTACTATTATATTTAACCATCCTAAATAAATACTAAATTTAACACTAAAGCTAAAATTAACATTAAATTTAACATTAATTAAATTTAACATTAAATTAAAGCTAAATTTAACACTAAAGGTGATGACAGAATGACACAAAATTAGTTATCTTCCCCAAGAAGACATGTGAAATAATTACACTGGGGAATGCATTAAAGTTTTGGATAGGAAGTTTTATAGGATCATGTCACAGCATTTTGCAGGAACATGGCTGAAAATGAAGATCTGACTAAAAAAGCTGGTAGCCTTTGAGGCAGTGAACAGAACAACCACTGTCAGCACCTCCTAAGGGTCAATCACCTGCCTAGAGAAGAGAGATGAAAATAGAAGCAGCAGGTTTAATCTGAGAATCTCCAAGTCTGATAAAGAAGGAGCCTGTTGACAAAACCACTTAGCCAAGGTATGCTTGCACATGTTGCAGAGCTGTGTATGTTGGCCTTGGCATGAACAAATGGGTTTCCTATATTCCCTAACAGTTATCCTTCACTCACCAGCTGACTCTACCCTCAAAAACAAATACAAAAACCTGTCTTCTGCAGCAAAGCTGTGTTAAGGGTCAGCTACTGCAGCACCTGTTATTTTTAATTACCAATTTTGATTTCTAAAATTGTAGACTGTTAGAGGAGTGTCACATTTATCAATTTTCCTTGATTATTTTTTGATGAACTGAAAAGAATTGCTAGTTAGCTCTCTAGACAAACAGACTCTACTCTCTCTAGACAAACAGAGTGATCAATTGCTGAGTTTCCATAAAGGATGTATCTAGCCTGCTCTCTGGACAAAGGAGAGAGCTATTATACTGCTTTCACAATCTTTTCACACTGGCTAAGAAAATGTCCAAATGTGATACTGACAGAGAAAAAAGAGGACTTGCAGGGTAGTAGTTGTTTCCTTTCCCCTCTGCAAAATGGAGAACATTTCAGTTCCCTTTAGCTTGGTGCTTTTATCTGTGAATGTATAGTGCATATTAGACCCTGCCAGACTGTCAGCTTTGGTAATGGCAGAAGAAGTGTGAAAACAAAAACAAATGCTCCTGCAGGTTAGTGTGAAAGGAAGAGGAAAATATATTTGTATCCTGTGAAATACAAGATGCCAGACAACATATGCTCAGTAATCCTTGTAGGCAATATTATCTGTAAATGCCATCTTCTCTTTCTGAAGAGTAGCAGTTATGTTCCTACATGAGGTCTTAGCCATAATTGCTGTCTCCTGCTGTAGAACAGTAATTTTAGCAGCTGTTGCACAGTGTTTCCCTACTGACTCTATTTTCCATGTACGTATGTACCAGTCACCTATCTCACAAGTGGTGAATTTAGTTCTGAATAAGGCTTTATTCAGGCATGTGTTCATATTCTCTAAGATCCCACAGACACCATCTTCAACAACATCAGTTCAAAGGCTTCTGTGGCAAGGATTAGTCAAAGATTGGAAAATGCTCAATCCAGATGGGGGAAATTTAGCTTGCAATACCTCAGGACACCTTTGCTTCCAGCTTCCTGGTATGCATTGTCTGGAAAAGCTTTGTGCATCTTGTACAGCCATTTCCCTGGTCAGAAGCAGAGCAAGGAGCAATGAGCTGTGTGCTGTCCCTTCTTTTGTGCTAAAACAGTTATTTGCTCCATCTGTTGTACAGGCCTAATGTTTTGAAATAAATAATGGTGGCTGGTTGTTATGTCTGTGGAGATGTTTAATATCTGTTATTAATTATCATTAGTTATTAATTAAGCGATCAGCATAGCATGAAACAGTGATCATCTAGGAGGAACGGAACTTTTGGCAATTTGCCACAGTGCCACAGTTCTAGAGCACAAAAATCTATTACTCTGCACATGCAATATATTATTAGACACAAAGCCATATGTGTGCTTTAAGAATTTGCCTTTGCTTGTCATTTCTGAGTGCATTATTGCATGCAAAGAGACAATGAAACCTTTGTGGAGTCAGAATGGAGCTGAACAGCTGGGTCCCACTGCACTTGCAGTGAAAATCTCTAGAGTGCTGTACTTTGTTATTGAGTCTGTACTAGATTCAAGCCATTGCAAGGATGTGTTTTGCTTTCCATGCAATAAGAAACAAAAACCATGCTGGATATGACTTGCAGTGCAGCACACGACTCAGCAGTGAAAAACAAACACTTCTGAGGTGCAATGCAGACTCTCATTGACTTTTAGTCTCCAGTGAGAGCCTAAGACAGGAAACAAATGTAAATGTTGCAAGGCTGCAACATTTAGGGTAGGCGTGTGCACTCGTGTCTGTCTCCTACAGAATGTTGCATTCTGAAAATCGTCTGCATTCTCAGTCAGCAGCAGAGTGCTGAACAGCAATTTCCTTTTTCTGAAACAGGAAAAGAAAAAACTACATCCCTGCAAGCCAGGAAGCATCTTACTGGCAACCTTGTCATTTCTGCAGGATTTCTTACTGAATTTCTTTCTTCCTAGCAGAACACTGCTGAAATTGTCAGATATTATTTTCCACAGTCTCTAGTTTTTGTCTGTTGGGAGATCCACAAGGGGAAACACATGCCTGTCTCATGCAATAAGTTGGCTGGGAAAAAACATGGAAGAGTGTTTATGAACTTATGTGCCTTTCCAAGCCATGAGGACAAGGAGAAGTGAAGCCCTCACACCTGCACTCCCTCATGTTGGCCAGGGCAGCAACACAGCCAGGCCTGGTCTGCACAAGGGAGGAGACACATTTTTACAGGGGCTTGAAAAGCACTTCAAGATGAAAGTGTAAATGTTCACTCTGCTTTGCTTGTCTCATTATTTTCACCACCTCTTCCATGCTTTCAGCCTGTGATGTTTAAGAAAGTGAAAGCAAGATTTCTTTGAAAATCTCCATAACTTGTGGTATCCCAAAGCTGGAAGAAGGAGGAATGGGAGTGAGGATTGTTACAATTTAATGGAATCAAACACAATGTACTGAAGCCCCCTTATAACTAGTACTGTCTAATATTCCTCCTGTCCTCTGCCCTTTCTGGATGCAATGTGTATTCTCTACTGGAATTAGGTAAAATCTAACAGTGCTGTGTTGCTCATAATGTTGTCAAAAGATATTGGTGAGCAGCATCAGCCTTATGGCACCACTGTGTTTCCCTGCCCATTTCTGTCATTTCAAGTGCCACAACATCTGAGTCAGGGTGCTAAATTTTACCTGTAGTTACCTCTTCACTCCTTGGACACAACACATTTAATTTCTTTTTTTCCCATTTCTTTTTCCCCATGAAAATACTCTTCAAAATTTCTGCACAAACACAGGGAGGGAGGTGTAGGTCCAGCCGTTTGGCTTACATGTACTCCAAGAGCAAACTTATCCTTTGGTGCTTAACCAGCCAACTCTCAATGGAGCAATGAACTAGAAGAACTCCAAGTAACTGAATTCTAGGGAAAAAAACCCAAAAAACCAAAAAGATCACCTCTGCTGCTTTCAGAGTGGGCAGGATAGGAAGCCCTTAGCTAGCCAATGCAATGGACCTGGCAGGTGAGTTATCTCCTCTGTCTGAGTTTTGGAGTTGTTCAGACCCCAGCAGCCGCTCAGAGCCCTCGTTCCCCCGGGCCTGAGAGCGAGGGGCTCTCTCGGCCGAAGGAAAGGGTCACTGCACTGGAACGGGACTTATCCAGCCACGGTCTCCTCATTTATTTCCTTTTTTCTCTTTGATCTTCTTTACTGTTGTTTTTCTTCTTTAAAAAAAAATTTGTTACTGAGAACCCGTATATTTCTTTCAGTTCCAATCCGATGATCACAGCTGAGTGATTTCTACCTCACGCATTCATCCTCGGTGCGTTCGGGGGCAACCCCCCCACTTCAGCACAACTAGCGTTCTCCCGCTGCCGCTCTCCGGCGGCGCGGGCAGGCACCACACCCAGGCCTTTGTTCTGTCGCCGCAAGCGGCCCGCTGGCGGTGCGGCGGCGGGCAGGCTCCGGCCGAGCCGGGCCCGTCCCCGGGGACCGCGGGCTCCCTCCCCTCAGGGCCCGGCCCGCCCGGCCTGCCCCGCGCGGCGGAAGCCGGAAGCGCGGCGGCGGAAGCGGCGCTCAGCTGGCGGGGGGTGTCGCAGGTGAAGCTGGGAAGCGCGGAGCCATCTTGGTGCCCGCGCCGGGCAGGGACGGGACCCGCCGGGGCCTGAGGCCGGAGCCGCCGCCTGCCCGCCCGCGCCGCTGCCGGTGCCGGTGCCCGTGACGAGCAGCCGGGAGGTCGCGCCGCCCCTCCGCGGGCGCTCCGGCCCCAGCGGGCTGTTCCTAAGCCCCCGGCAGCGGCAGGGAAGTTGTTCCCCCCTGCCCCCGCCGGTGCCCCTGCCCACCCTCCCCTCGGTTCCTGCGCCGGGAGTGAGACAAGCACAACCTCAGGGAGACCCGGCCCTGCGCACAGACACCGGCGGCCCCCCGCGGCAGCTCCGGAGGAGGAATCCGGCCCCTTCCCTCGTCCTGCAGCGCCGGCAGCCTTCGGACCCTGCGTGTGCCCGGCACGCAGCTGTCCCGCCTGGAGGCAGCTCTCACCGACTAACCGGCCCCCTCCGCCTCAAGTACATTCTGTGGACATAAGCATTTTTTAACTTTTTAAGGAACTTTTTTTTTTTCTCTCCCATGGAATTTTTACCAGCTGGCCCTTAGTTATTTCCTGCTTCTCCCATCTCAGACAGCGCTGACTTTGTTTTTTCCTGGTAATGTAGTATGGGGATCAAATCAAATCCGAGATTTTAAGTATTGCAAGAGCCCTCAAGTCCGTTCACCTGTTAAAAGTGAGCAGTGCTGTTCTTGTCTTTCTTCTTTTTCCCCCACGTCGGATGTGATGGAACTCATGTTCGCAGAGTGGGAGGACGGGGAGAGGTTTTCATTTGAAGACTCTGATCGCTTTGAGGAAGACTCTCTTTGTTCCTTCATCTCTGAGGCAGAGAGCCTTTGCCAGAACTGGAGAGGATGGAGGAAGCAATCGGCTGGACCCAATTCCCCCACTGTCAAAATGAAAGGTAAGGTGACCCGGTTTAATTGGGATGCTCTTTGGATTCGTGGAAGTTGTGGGGCAAGGGGGGATGGTAGGTGAGGAGATCTGCAGAAGGAAGTCAGAGCAGCAGAGAGAACTCCTATGTATGATTCATTGTTGGGATGATTTTTGTCCAAAGATTGAAACTCTAAGTTCACCGGGGTTCTTAAGACAATGCTATCTTTTAGGTGAGTTTTCACCTGTGTGCACTCGTAGCATTGTGGTGCTGCTCTTCTGAGTAGGTTCTGTGGGATTGTTCTGGGAAATCTGAAAACTGTTTTCTGTAAACAAACTGCAGACTTGGCTGCGAATGACTGCAAAGGTTCCCACAGGCTTTGACTGAAGTCCTCTAAGGATTCATAGAGGTTTTTGTTACTTCTGTAAAGCTACTCATGTAAAGCCATGTAAGCCATCATTGTATAGAGCAGTCCATTTTCCTTGTCTGATTCTTGGCATTTCTCCTTTTTCTAGTAAATTAGGTCTTTCTTTTGCAATAGTGGAGCAAGAGGGCCTTACCACTGTCGCAAAGAAGTCAGCAAACAGCAGTGTGCCTACTTCAAGAGTTGTTTTATTTCCTTTCTGCTGATAGTAATTTATATTTAATAGCAGACAGCAAAATAGGTAACATTAACAAATGAATTTTATTTTTTGCATTTGCTTGATTTTTTTTTTCTTTTTAACAAAACTTGATTTCTCTATTATTCTCCTGCATTGTGACCCTGGAATTCAGGTGATGTTTGCACTAAGCAGAGCCAGATACACAGTTAACACAAATTACACAAACTCCTTCTACTTTTCCTTTATCTCCTGTTTCTTTAGGCCAGTGTCAGTACTTTTTCTGATCTTTAACCATCACCTGCCTCATTGATATCTCCCTATCTAGAACTGTACAACTTTACTCTCTTCTGAATATTGCCCTTACATGAACAGAGAATGCAATTTATATTGAATTGAGTTGGAATCTGGCCATGCTGTGCTATGGACAAATGTTCAATTTTCACTGGTTTAGTACCATAAAGTACACTTTGCATTAACCATAGACTTTCCAGAGCAGATGAAATTTTAAATTCTGCTGCTGTAAAGAAAGGGAAATGTGTAGGCATTTTTAAAATCTGTAAGTCGTGAGATGTAGAAGTAAGCATTGTGCATGGGGCAAAGCATATACATATATATTTATCTCATGTTTTGCATTAAGTCTTGTTGCACATGTTAGCTTGCTGGAAAGGAGCTGCATTTTTAAAAACACACTGGTGTGGAAATAAAGACATCTTTAGTTTGGCAGAGATGTATGGAATTGGTTTGCATGGCTCTGCAAGTCAGACTGATGTTTGCAAAGGTGATTTTTTTTCCCCAACTTCTAGATGCTTTTAGCCAACTTTTCTCCACTGGCTCAGTGTATGAGTGCATGTTCTTCTGGCTCTTGACCTAGTTCCTTGAGCTCTCTTGACCGAATTAAATCAAGCAGCAGTTGCTCTCTCTGCTGACACCCACTTGTTGCATTAAAAGGAAAAGACACTTCAGTGGATAGGGCATACTGGCAATCTACATACTCTTTTCTGACATGTAAAACAGAATCACTCACATTGCTGTGATTATTGCAATTATTTACACGATATTGAGATGTTGCTGTTCTGGGTTCTGCAGACTTGCATAGGCAAAACTTTTATTGCTTACACTTGGTTCATATATTTCAGGTTTTATTAGACACCTAATTCCTTTGTGTGAGAATCTTATTTTAACAGGAGGGGCATTTTGAAAGGATACTGTTACCTCCTTTAAGGCTCTTGCTGGCAATTCCCAGGCCCTGGTCAGAGTTATTTTTAGAAGAATATTAATGTGGATTTGCGGCCTAAATAATTATTTATTCACCCTGTGAAGTTACATATGATACTACTGATGTGGAACACTTGCAGGTGCTTTACTGTACACAGTTGTGTTGCCAGAAAGTCTGGTTTGACATGAGATCTGTCATTGTCTGCAATCTCCTTGGACTTCAGAACTCCTGTACCAATTTTGCCGTTTTTAATACCTCTTCTTGACAGTGTTTTTGAGTCAGAAAACACAAAACTTGCTGGGTCCTGAGGTTGTTGCTCATAGTGAGTAATTTCAAATATGATAATTCAAAATTGAGCTGTGTTTTTATTTCCACAGTTTGCCATTTTACTATGCAAACAAAAAGTGAGGTTAAACACTAGGTTATTCTGTTAAATGCTAAGAGGAAGCAAGAGGAACTATATTCTGTTAGTCTTTTCCTCCAGTTTGGAGCTCAGCCTGTGTTTTGGTGTGGAATTAGTTAGACGAGTTATGTAATAGAAAGGATATCTAGCTTCTTCAATTGTTTTCAGTTTGTCCTTTTAAGTGTCTAATTCTTTTTTAATTGATTCAAAGAGAATTCCCCTAAGACTGATGAAAGATCTGTTGGCTGTCTCTTAAACAAACAAACTACCTGCACACAGGTGCTTTCTTACTTTTTGCAAAAGAATTCCCCTAAGACTGATGAAAGATCTGTTGGCTGTCTCTTAAACAAACAAAGAAACTACCTGCACACAGGTAGTTATGGCTTTCTTACTTTTTGCAAGTTTTTCTTTTCTTCTTGGGTATCTTTAATATTACTGCCATGCTTATTGGAGATTTCATAATAAGGCTTGGGTTAGCTTGTTGCAAATATACACAGTATTCACTACAGAGGATTGCCAAAAAGATGAGTTATTCACTTGTTTGTGAATCACCCCATTGGTTTGCTTAGAAAGGCAATGGAAGGGGGAGAGAAATGTTTGAGTTTCTCTAATATAATCCTTGGAACTGATTTCTTTATAAAATCAGGTATCTTCAGTAGTTACATCAGAAAAATAGAATTGCAATTGGTTAATTTTTCTCACATTTGATTTATGCTATTATAATCTTCCTATACTACACTCTTGAAAGGACTTTTCTCCTTATGTGTAGAATTGCCAACGTGGAGAATGAATGCATTGTGTCCACTTCATGGATGCCCTTAGGTTTTGAAACTACTCTTAATCTCCACTAATTCACCTGCACTGAAATCCTGGAGGACTGCTGTCAGTTTTGGGAGTACTGGGAGTACTGGGAGTCCTGTCGTGATTTGGAATGTTTGTTTTTACGAATGCCCTTGTTCTCTTTGCTCGCTTTACCCCTTGTGTTGTTAGTTTTGAATGGTGTAATGCTTCTAACTGATATTTGGCCAGTCATTACCTGTATACATCACTGATTAGAGGCTTTCACTGCACAGACAGAGGATTCTGCTCTGAAGTTCAAGTGAATGGATATTTGAAAGTACAGTGTCCTTGCAGTGTGTTCAGAACTATCTGGTTCTTAGAGTTGGTTTGTAACTCCAACTCTTTTTCTTACATATCAAGTTACATTCCACCAATTTGTTACCCATCTACTGAAAAATGCCCCCACCTGCCTTTTCTGCACTTTTCTGGACAGTCTGTTCTTTCCCAGGAGCCATTATGATCCTCTCATGCCTTTCTCACTTTTTAAAGCAGTTGTATTTTTCATTGGTAATTGAAGTAAGTGTAGTCTTTCTGCAGATGTTTAAACATCTAATGTTATCTTCACATAAGTATTTTTGTGATAGAATTTGTAAGAATAAATGTTCAAAGTACACTCATTATCTCTTCAAACCCACGGTGCCTTTGTTTCTTCCTGAAAGCTTCTAAGCTCTTTCCCACCCTTAGTCTTTTGTTTCACAGTTTCTGAAGCATAAATATTTACCAAACATTTAGGAAGCTGGCATTAATACCTCTAGGATTGTTAAATAGTGCCTTCACAATATATTTACTAATTTTATTAATTCATGGTAGATTTGGTTGGAAGTGTGCTGATGAGTTGTGTTGAATCTCTATCCAGTAGGCAGCTAGTGAGAAAACTTGACTTTTTTCCTTTCCTTTACTGTAAACTTGAACTATTATATACTGTATTGCAGAACCCCCTCAGATTTGACTAAGAAATGATGCAGGTAGTGCTCTCTTGGAAAATATTCTCATGATCCAGCCCCAGACAGTTTTTGTTCTTTCAAGCTGTTAGGA